GAACTTTGGTTAACATTGCATTCACACAAATTGCGCAAAAGTCTCCACTTTCACAATAAAAACTGTCAGGTCTGTCGACTATGCTTGACTATTTTTACCACACAGAGTTCTGGGGAAGTCCGATCTAGAGTCTCTGAAATGGCATTTCCACCGTTCTGGGGAAGATCTCAACTGACTACCTCGACGATTGGAACGATTTGGAACCAAAGAGTAGGTACTCTACCGGGCTGGTCGTAGAACTCATGAAGACCAAAAAGTTGACAAAAGTTGTTGTAAGTTATAGTTATGTTTTAATCGTGAAGTATTTAGTCTATTAAAGTCATCCAAGATAATAATACATTTGAGAATTGAGAGGCAGCTCGATAAATAATCGACCAACATTGATGAACCATCCGCACTATGGGGATGGTAAGACAAAACAAGAGAGAGCTATAATATTAACACACTCGTGATTCAGGTAATTTATTAATTCTTGATCTTATAATTATAATTTTTGTATTTCAGAAATCCATAAAAAAACTTCCCATAAAGCTATATTGTATACTATTTTAAAAAATATAAGCGCAATTCCAATCATTTCGTCATTCTGGTGGCAGTGGTGGTTGACACAATAAATCTTTGTTTTTGTATTTTGGTAACGCTGCCTTTAAATAAGCTGCTTCTCTTGAGCCATCGTCAGCTATGGCGGCCGTCACGGTAAATACATCTTTGTTAGTCGTATAGCTCGTAGCGAAGTAGAAGTAATCCTTTATAAAATTATAGTGGTGATAACAACCATGTCTGTCTTCATTTTTATATCTAAAATTATAGAATATATTTCAGACTATACATCAGCCCACAAGACAGATGTCCCAGGAAATCCATCCTGCCGCTATTTCCTTGAAATATCACCATGAATGTAGTCGTAAAAGTAAGCTGGGCTGATCGCAATGGACCTTTCCCGTTATAACTAAAATTTTGATCTAGAGAAGCCTAGACAAAAATTTCATCACAGCTTGAAAGAGCATCACAAAATTAGTAATATTCCGAAGTTTCGTTGCGAAATGTTGTAAAATGCGGATAATATAGCCTTGCGAAGTTTGCCGTTTTTCAGTAATTTTAGCAAATTTATAGCCCATATAAATTTAAGTTAATGAGACAAGGTGCAATGGTAAGATGAGGAGGAATCCCTGGTTTATATCAACCTTGTCTGACAGTTAGGTCAAAGATCTTGACATATAGGTCAAAGATCATCTTCTGCCAGCTAGCACGCATTCACGTGCACAAACCGTGAAACTTGCTGTGAACCAATTGAAAACCTTGTACGACTGTGTTCTGTGCTTTGACCAATCATAGGCCATAACACAGCCCATCCTAATTGGCGCATAACATGCACGAGTTCATGCAAAATAATGTAATTTACCCTGAGCTGTCGACAGAGTAACATTTATATCAAAACATTTTTCCCACCCACCCACCTCTCCTCTGCTTACCTTGACTGGATTTAAAAATTAAAATTTAAAAAAAACCCAAAAAAAAACAACAAAAAAAACAACAAACTAAAACAAACAGTTAAAGTTTTAATGTTACAATATTAGGGAATGCAGTAATAACATTCTTATGTCTACTATATACCCGTTCCCATGGAAAGATATGGATAGACACGCATTGTATGTATTGGTATATGATTATGTACAAAGGGATGCTACGACCGATCTCAAGGACATTCTGAATTGTTGGTAGACTAGCTTATCTAATTCATTGTGGATATTATGGATATTATTGTGCATGGAAAATATTTTGCTTGTAAGTTCTTGTTGAGTAATTCAAATAAAGATTTGTGGTTCGGGTTGAAGTCTCCATAAAATGTCAACTTCAGGCCCATAGACTCAATATATGTCACACATAATATATCTAAATCTAAGGACTGTCCATGGGGGGTTACCCCCCATGTTCAGGTTAAGGACTGGCCTTATGGGTTTTGTGCCTTTGGTCAGGTTAAGGACTGTCCATAGGGGTTTTGCGCTCTGATTGGTCAGGGTAAGGACTGTCCATACTGGGGTCTTGTGCTCTAGTTGGTCAGGTTAGGACTGTCCAAGTGAATCTTGGTCAGATTATCAGTGCCAGTTCAGAATCAGTGCAGCTAATAGGGTGTGACATACGAGTTGGCATGATGCTTGTCATATACTGTAAATGGACTCTTCACAACCCCGAACCCCTCTCCCACAAAATAAAGATTTGTGTTTAATATTGTGTTGTCAACTTGGGTCATTAAGTATTATTTACTAACGGGAAATTGACAGCCCCAACACCCGATTGGGCTGTCAATTTCCCGTGCGTAATACAAAATGACTGAAAAACGGTAAACTTCGCAAGGCTATATATTATCCGCATTTTATAACATTTCGCAACGAAACTTCGTAATATTACTAATTTTGTGATGCTCTTTCAAGCTGTGATGAAATTTTTGTCTAGATCAAAATTTTAGTTATAAGGGGAAAGGTCCATTGTCATAAATACTGGGCAACCATACACTAGCGCTCTCATTGGATGTCAAATATAAACGTACTTTAAATCATGCTCCTTTCTTGAAAGTGGCATTAACCACAGTGGACGTGTGGAGATTTATTCAATACGATTAATTGATGTTAATCCATTTTTGATAACAATTAATCGATTATGAAAATGAACTGATGGGAGCAGCTCTAATACCCCATTCGGGATTAAAGTATCTCAATTCAATTGCACTTTCCTACGAAAGTGCGCACTTTCCTGATAAGAAAATGAACAGAGGCTTACGATTCATGAATGAGGAACGCAGCTATCACGGACAATTAAACATAACATTAAAATGCAGAAATTATTTCTACTTTTAAAAATGTAGAGCCAATAGCTGAATTCATATTAGAAGACGGATTTCCGTCTGAGACGGGAAACTCGTCCAAGACGAGAACTTGTTCAGATATAAATTCGGTTAACGACGGGTTTTCCGTCTCAACCTTTCCGTCTAACTTTCTCGTCTGAACGACGGGAAATTTATATCAGACGAATAATCAAGACGGGTTTCTGCTCGTATATAACGTTGAAAAGAGACTGGGATGGAGGGTCTCCTATTCTTCGTGTTTATCTGTCCGATGGTTTTCGTTTCATATTCCTACCAGACGGAAATCCGTCACGAGTTTCCCGTTTTGGTCGGAAATCCGTCTTCTAATATGAATCCTAGAGAGTTCCCTACACTCGACCTACAGTACCAAGGTAGCTTAGCTGACTCAGTGGTGAAACTCTCTAATTGCATGAACCCCGTGCTCCCTGTAAGCAAGCAAGCAAGTAAGCAAGCAAGGCGACAGAAATCGGGCCAGACCTGTGCGCAAAGATTGTAAACGTTGCTGAGTACCTGGATTTGGTATATTTCTTCAAAGCTCTGAAGTCAAATGATCCAAACATTGTTGTGAAGTCTAGTGGTCGTGTCACGAGACTCAATTCAACTAAAAATATTTTAACTAACGCTCCTAGAGTAAACACTTTAACTTTTCAAAATAGCTATTTTAATAGAGCTCATAGAACATATAATTGCTTGCCATCATATATCCGCAACGCTGACGTCACCATTGGCCAATTCAAATCATACTTGTTGAAATATTATCACGAAATGACTGAACTGACATTAATGTACCACAATAATTTAAAACTGTCTGTGTTAAATGTCACTCGTGTCGTCCTTTGTCGAGCCTTGTAGATATAACGTGTTGTAATTGATGTAAATGTTTAGTTTAAGGGGCCCTGTTGAATGGGGCAAGAAGCCCTGTAGGGATCACCAGTCATTTATGACAAAGCTCGTAAATAAAAAAAAATAAGCCTAAACGTTGTACTCGTAGTCAAATTTAAACTTACATATACACTATGAAACCATGATTTTAAACCACAGTAAAATAACTATGTTATCATTGTGCGAGTGTGGGTCTTTCAGCTCAAAGTTACACTGATAGATCGCGCGTAAAATTCAAATTCGGATCGTTCACATGTGAAGAAGACGTGAGTTAACCAAAGCGAAGAAAATACAGCGCGAGGAAAATGAATATATGGAACCGTAAAGTCACTAATTTCGACTATTATCGATAAGTTTGACGATAAATTATTGTGTTCATCACGGTTTGCAAAATGATACAGACAATACTTACATGACATTGTAGCTCTTATTTTGAACGAATGGCTCTTTGAAACTATCGAGAGCGAAAACTTTGATATGGTTAAATGGCCAAGGATTACGGACAATAAATCTTCCTTTTATTACTATATACAGAATGAAAAACACAAGCAAAATATTAGTTAATTCTTTCCCCAAAATCTAGTCACCATCATTGCAATTTTGCAATCTACATACATCTGGGCATTCTCCTTTCCGTAATTTTTATGTATTTTTACATCATATATATAGTTGATAGTGATAATCTGAGTACTGAGTGACATTTTTTATCGTAAAAAGAAGAAGTAGTAAAACAAAAAAAAATTTAATTAAGCAGCTACCGATTTTGTAGTCTATGCAATTATAATGCAACCACTACTCACCTAAATCGCTATCGCAATAATATTTTGAGACATCAACTTTCTTTGTTCTTTCTGTAAAAGATTTTAACATATTAGCAGTCTCGCTTCGTATACCCAATAGCACGTTGCGCTAATCTGGCGAGCTTATTGGAGGGTTGTAGTACCGTTGAAGAGGCAGTTCGTTCGGGGCCATGACTATGGGTCATGAAGCATTGGCGTTGTTAGTCCTTTACGCAGGGCCGTAGCGAGGGGGGGGGGGGGGGGTTTATTTTAACGTGCAGTTCTACACAAAATGTGCAGTTCTAAACCCATTTGTGCAGTTCTTAAAACACAAATGTGCAGTCACCAAACTAACAAAAATAGCCTTAATTAAAACAGTCTTCTCATTTACTCGTTACCCTTGTGGATGCTCCAGAAAATTCCAGCTGAAATGCTGTCATTAATTGAGCATCAAAAATATAAACGATTTATGGCGAAAGACTCCAGACCCTCCTGTTTTCCTCATAAATCACTTACGTGCTGGCGTAATGGAAAAGAGGATAAAATTGGGGCGAACGAAGCTCCTCAAAAGAGGTTAGAGTGGGAGAACCTAATATTCTTTGCTGCCTCAAATGCACATTTAAGGTTGTTATATATTGAATATCCATGATTCTCAGTTACATGTTTTGAAACTGTTTTTGTGAGTTGTCGGGTAAAACAAAACTTTGCCAGAACTTAAGAGCCTCTAGATTCAAATTGTTTTGGGGAACACCCCTAGCTCTTAAATTACACCCAAAATCGAGTTAGCTGGCCTTTCTCCCACCCAACCACACCATTATTCTGTCACCTATATGCAGGTAAAAAATCCTTTGGACCCCCCCCCAGTCAAACACCCGTTGCTTTCGTAACATCCCTATATGTACAGTTCTAAATTTTTCTTAAAATAAACCCCGGAGGGGGTATTGGAGGAAGGGGTGGTTAATCCCCCAACTTTTTTAACATTGACATATTCGGAAAATCGGGTTGGCCATTCGGAAAATTACGGCAAAAATAGTATAACAAAATTTTAGTTGTTAAACAGAGAAAATATAATATAATTGTATTGTCAGTATAAACTGACTTACGAAATCATGGCATTTACATGGATAAGATTTAACAAATCCTAAATCGGTAAATGTTTTTCGGTTTATTTCTTCTCAGGGCCGTAGCAACCGGGGTGGGGCTGGGGGGGGGG